GAGCTTGCAGCACCAGCTTTCTGCCACCCACTGGACGTTTGGCCGCGTCCATGGCCAGGCTTCTTCCAGGCAGCCTTCCTAGATTGACCCACAGAAGCTGGACGCTTCCACTCCGTCCACGTGCTGAGGGGACTTTCCTGCTTGACCTGCCCGCTCTCCACGAGCGTGTGTCTGAGGAGGGAGCACAGAAGCTCCCTCCAGAGTGCGGGCGATCTGCAGAGTCCTCAGACGCCCGCTAACTCGTGTCCTGCTTCGCCACGCGGAGGTGGACGGGGCAGCCCGCCTCCCTTCGCGGGGAAGGCATCACGGTGCAGTTCCCGCTGCGCTGAGGCCAGCCAGGAGCGGGGGGCAGGGTGAGCAGAAAGGCCTGTCCCCCTCCGTGACCTGGCCTGCGGGGAGGCGAGACCCGCTCAGAGGACTGGGTCACCCACGCGTGAGCTGTAGCAACAGGGCTGCAGGGAACCGTGCAGTGAGAGCGGGAGCGGCGAGGCCTAGCCCGGAGGTCAGGGACGGTCCCCTCAGGCGCGGGAGGAGGTGCGTGAAGGGGGACTCAGCCTGAGCCCCGGCGTGTGCAAAGGCCCTGCAGTGAGGGGCCATGCCGCTGGGTAACCGGAAGGCCAGCGTGGCTCAGGCGGAAAAGAGAGGCGGCCAGAGGCGTGTGTGTGCCCAGGTCACACCGTGGCCAGTGGGGAATGATGCCAGGGGGAGGGCAGGGCTGGGCGCCCGGACAGGAGGCCTCACGGTGGCCTCAGAAGCCACCGCCCGCCCCCACGGGCTGTTGCTGCGGGCCGGGGCTCACGGAGGCAGCAGGATGGCGGGCGCCGGCAGAGGGAGGCCCAGGGGCACCTGCAGGGCCAGCCCTGGGCCTGGCAGGCTGGGCCTGGGAGGCCGGCGACGCCCCGGGGCAGGGGCCCAGGCCAGCTCCTCCGTCAACCCCCCAGCGTCATAGGCGCGCCATGTCGGGAGCCACTCGGGTCCAGCCTCCCTTGGGAAAGGGTAGCGGTTCCCAAAGGCCTGCGGGAGAGCGGGGTGACCAGTCTCGACCCATGAGGCCCCCGGGCGCAGGGAGCCGCTGACGTGATGTCAGGTAGGACGCCACCTGCCAGCCCTGGGGCGGGGGTGGGGCGTCGCTCCCTGCACACCAGGCGGCATCATCACACGGGGCCTGGGAGCTTCCCACAGCCTGCGCACGGCAGCGGGGTAGTAGGCCTGAGCTACCAGCGTCCATTAGCCCCAAAATTGAGAGGGGCCAGCCCTGGAGAGCCAGAGAGCGAGGGGAACTCCTCTTGTAGACAAGGCCTCTGTCCCCAAGGCTATCAGAGACGGCGCCAGGCCGGGTTAGGACAGGGATGGCCCTGGCCGGCTCTCTGCCGCTCTGGCCCCTGGCCGGAGTGGGGGCCGGTGGGTATTCACCGACGCCGGCAGCAGGCCGGCAGCCCACGGTGTGTGCCCGCGCGGCAAACACTGACTCCTTTCTGTCCTGCAGGCGGAGGGGCCTCCTGCCTGACGCAGCTCAGATCTCCGCCTCCGGAAGGTCAGGGCGCTGCTTTGTCCACCTCGAGAGGCAGGAAGGGGCCCGCGCAGCGTGGGCTTGGCTCTCAGCTGCCCCTCTGGTTCAAAGGTGGGCTCGCCT